TATGGCGCTGAATGTTGGCCTTTAAAAGAGAAGCATAATAATAAGTTAAGTGTTGCCGAGATGAGAATGATTAGGTGGATGAGTGGCTTTACACTTAGAGACAAAATGCGGAATGAATATATTCGTGATAGGGTTGGTGTAGCTCCTGTGACAGACAAAATTAGAGAAAGTCGTCTTAGATGGTTTGGTCATATTAAACGTCGGTCTTTAGATGATCCGATTAGGAGAGTAGATGTTTTAAATTCGACTTGTGTTAAGAAAGACAGAGGTAGACTTAGGAAGACTTGGGCTTATTGTATTAAAAATGATCTTAATTTACTAGAACTAAATGAAAATATGACACTAAATAGGACGCAATGGAGAAAAAGGATTCATGTAGCCGACCCCACGTAGTGGGATTAAGGCTTTGTTGCTGTTGTTGTTGTTGTATAATATTTTAATCCCTAAATGATATAATGCCACCACTAACATTAATTATCTGTAGTAAAATGCACATTTTTATACATATATTTTGATCTTATTTAGACGCTTAGTTGTTATATGCAAAGGGATGGGCGCATGAAATTTTTCACTCGTCTGTTCATCTCCAAGATTCACATATAACACAGTATCTGTGCAATTTATTTGGGAGTCATATTTATCTTGTTGTAGGAGCTATAATGAATGGTGAAATTTTGTCCACTACTAATGTTGGTAATCTAGTTTATTTGTGCGTTGGAAAGACCTACTTTGTATCTGATGACTCATGACTCATGAAATATCTTTGGAGGTGCATCAATTATGCTACTTTAACACATTAACTAAGGGCCAATTGGGCATCACTTTTTGTTTTTTTTAATCTGAATGATACATATTTGGTTAGTGTTTTTCAAGTATTTTTAAAACACAAATTAATTTTTTTGGTATTTTCTTTATTTTCAAAACATGATTTTCGCCACCATCCAACCCTGTAATGCGGTTGATGACTTCTCTGTTTGTTCCACCAACTTCTTCGGATATGACACCACCACCCTCATCAAATCTCAAAATAAATAAACTTTGTGATATTCAATAAAAAGTAAAGGAAAATTTACATTCATACCACACAATTCTTCGAACACCTAAAGTTTGATATTTCTCAAGTATAATGTAATTGGCGGCTTCCTCTAATATAATTTGAACTTCTTTTCCTAAACTTTCAGATTCTGCTCCTACAGATAGGGCAAGGGAGTTGTTGGAATTGCCTGGCTGGCCAGATCAGAGTTTTTTAGATGCTGATAATGTCCAGGATGGTAAACGGTGGTGGTCACATCCATATCCTTCCCCTTCTCGGCTTGCAGAATCCAAACCGTTGCACAGAACAATATCATCCCCTTATGAACAGCAGCAGAAAGTCTTCCCTCAATCTGCTGGACAGCAACAGCAGCTAAATTCGTTCGAACAAGTTCCTCTTCGAAAGCATTCTTTTACTTCCTACCCTCCGCCCGGTGATTTATCCCAAGGTTCCAAAATTCTGTCCCACAATATAGACATTTTAACACCAAGTGTTGGTCCCCAGGCAAACTTTTCAGCACATCAAGTTTTCCCTTTCTCTGGTCCTCAACCTCTTGCTGATGCATATCATGGGATGAGATATCGTGGAAACATGGCACAGTTTGTCTCTCCAGGCTTAAATATTATTAATCCGGAAGAGAACAATTTGTTGAGACAATCCAGTGTAAATTTCGGTGACCGCAATAATCTGTTTCCTGCTATATTTCAGCAGAATTTGTCTCATCCGAATGGCCTAGTTACATCTCAGCAACCTATATTTCAAAATGTTCAGCCTTCTCTGCCACATTTCCCACAATTACCACCTCAACTTGTCGGTTCACATCTTTCTCCCCACATGCTTGAAACAATACGAGGAATGCCTGATTTGAGAGATCAAGGATTGAAGACTGGGCAAAGGGGAAGGCAAAACATGCGATTTTCTAATCAACTTTTAGATATGGGAATCCATAAGAACAGCAATGCATGGCCTCAATTTCGATCCAAGCACATGTCAACTGAAGAGATCGAAAGCATTCTGAGAGTTCAGCATGCTGCAACACATAGTAGTGATCCCTACTCTGATGATTACTATCATCAAGCCTGTCTGGCAAAGAGATGCTCTGGATCAAAGCTGAGGCGCCACTTCTGTCCAAATTCTATCAAGGAGCTGCCTTCAAGATCCCGAGCTAGTAGTGAGCCACATGCTTATCTTCAAGTGGATGCTCTTGGGCGAATCCCCTTCTCTTCAATTCACAGGCCACGTCCTCTACTGGATGTGGACTCACCTTCTACAGCTGTAGGAAGCAGCTCTGAGCTGAGATGTTCTGTGAAGCCTCTAGAGCAAGAGCCAATGTTGGCTGCTAGAATCACTATGGAGGACAGCCTTTGCCTTCTCCTTGATGTAGATGATATTGACCGGTTTCTGCAGTTCAACCCACCACATGATGGTGAATCCCAGCTTAAAAGGAGACGGGAGGCTCTCTTGGAAGGGGTTGCAGCATCTCTTCAGCTGGTTGATCCACTCGATTCTAATAAAGTAGGCCAATCTGTGGGAATAGCTCCTAAAGACGACGTAACCTTTCTCCACATCGTCTCTCTCCCGAAGGGCCGTAAGCTTTTGTCACGCTATCTCCTGTTGCTTTACCCTAGCAGCGAGCTAGCTCGGATTGTTTGCATGGCCATTTTTCGCCACCTCAGGTATTTATTTGGTGGTCTGTCCTCAGATTCCGGGGCAGCCGAAACCACATCGGCTCTCGCCAGAACTGTATCTTTGTGTATTTGTGGGATGGATTTGAGTACACTGAGTGCATGCTTAGCTGCAGTTGTCTGTTCTTCAGAACAACCTCCTCTCCGTCCAATTGGAAGCGCTGCTGGTGATGGAGCCTCCATGGTTATAAAATCAGTACTTGAGAGAGCAGAATTCTTGAAGGATGATCATGGTACAAGCACCTATAGCATTCACAGTAGAGCTTGGTGGCAGGAATCATTCAATGCTTTCTTCAGGCTTCTATTGAAGTATTGCTTGAGCAAGTATGAAACTATAATGCAGTCATTAGCCTCGAGCTCACATGATTCTTCAATGGCTGGATCAGAGGCAACCCTTGCAATTCGCAAGGAGATGCCAGTTGAATTGTTGCATGCCAGCCTACCCCATACTAACGAGCAGCAACGAAAGCAATTACTGGAATTGGCTCAGCGATCCATGCCAGCTACTGGATAGGAGCACTTTGCTGTATGTGGCCTTCTTCTGAGTGAGTTGCTTTTTAAGTTCTTCCTGGACTAAAGTCGTCAGATAAATTTTTTTCTTACCTTGTCAATGCATAGGTTCTATGCCTTTTTATGAGGATGCCGCTGATGGGGGAGTAATTCGGCATTCAAGCTGGGTAAATTTTTAAATGATTTTGTTATTCCTCTCAAAAGGTCGGTCTTATTTTTATTTTTATTTTTTGCTTTTTACATAACCTACTCTTTGAAGAAACTGTAATATTTGCGTTGTGTAGCACCCCTAGAAAAATGAGTGTTGCCTGGAAGGTTTCCTCAACGGCGCTTAATTTTTGTGCTCCTTGTTGGAACTCTGGGAAGTAGTTATAGGGATACAAATGTACAGCTTGTGGTATCAAAGTCTGTTTTTTGGTGATTTAGCTCTTCTTTTTGCAACTGGATTGACCGAAGTAAAGGGGTATATAGAGTTTGGTGTTGGAGTTGGCGAGATCACCTGTATGGTTTGGGGGGTTTGTTTTTATTAACTTTTTGGCCCTCGTTTGTTCTTTTGAAGCTTGAATAACCCTGCTGTTGAAATCTATGCTTGTGTGGCATGAGCAATTGTAATTTTTCTGTGGATTATTATCTTGTAAGACCTCAACTGCGCTGTTAAACTCTTTGTTTCTATATATTAACTTTTATCTCATTTTCTAAGATCCTATCACTGTTGTTATATTTGTTTTGCTTTTATATGCTGCTGTTTAAAGTTGCTTTTCCAGTAAACTGCAATCTGTTAAACTCTTTGTTTCTATATATTAACTTTTATCTCGTTTTCTAAGATCCTATCACTGTTGTTATATATGTTTTGCTTTTATATGCTGCTGTTTTAAGTTGCTTTTCCAGTAAACTGCAATCTGTCCATAAGTTGAATGAAGCTGGCAAGTAGCGTTGTCTTCCTGAGTTATTTCGTTCCGGGTTTTTATACCTATAGAAGCAATTGATATCGTTTTAGAAGGCGTTGCCAACATCAGTTGCCAGTAGCCGGCTACCACCACCAGCATCACCACTACAATTGGACCTCACCTACTGGCACCGGCAACCGGCAACCATCTTTGCCGCTGTTGTATGCAGCCATTTCTGGTTACCGTCGTTGCCATTATTCAAATTTTTAGAAATTAGGTAATGAACGGGTGACGGCTGTCTCGAAAGTACTATTAAGTTGCCCTAAAGAGATCTCAAAGATGAAACACTGCGCATACATTACATGATTAAAATGTTTTTTTTAAAGAAAAATTATTAAATGAGCTGCGTTCGGATTAGGTGCGGATTAGTGATTTTTGGTAGTATTGGCAGTACTTATGGGGTAATATTGGTGGTATTGTTGTGTAGTTATACTATAATACCACGAATAGTACAATGAATTCAACCAGTCGTACCTATGTTATTTGAATGTAATAATTTTTCTTGTAATTGAGTTTTTGTGCTAGAAAATAAAGGCGGGTATTGAATTGGTGTTTTAGGTTTGATTCAAATTTAATGCGCCATTGGGCTTCTTTTAATGTAATACATATTTAAAATTTTTAAATAATCTTACTTGAATGACATAATAATTATGCAAATACATGAAATTATGTATGTATATGCCGCAAGGCTTGGCCTATTGGTGTTCGGGTTATTGTAAGTCCCCTCAGGTCAAGGGTGCAATCCCACGGTTCTGAAATTTTGGGCAAATGATATGGGCTCTCATCATGGGGTTAAAAAATGCACGAGAAATCGATATTTTGATTTTGGCCTCTGCGAAAAATCAATTTTATGTTTCATGAAATATAAAGCATATGTATAAAAGAGTAAAAGATTGATATTTCGGCCTCTGCAAAATATCAATTTTATGTTTCATGAAATATAAAGCATATGCATAAAAGAGTAAAAGATTGACAAATGAAAATGATGATATCAAACATAAAGTGCTGTTCTTCAATGATAAATGAGTTTGAGTTTTCTATCCCATAAGTTCCATAATATTTAGCTTAAAGACTTCAAAAGCATCTTCATCAAATGCCACACACATTGAAGATTTGAAGTACCACAATTTCACATTCATCCCTTCAGCTGTAGTTTGTCCCTTAAGCAATTACATCTTAATAATAACCTCAAAAACGAACCATTTTTAGGCATAGTTAGATTTCTCTCGTTGAAACGCTCGATTATGAGGATATGAGAATCCAATTTTATTTAATTCCTAAAATAGTAACATGATATTACAAATTTCTTTTAAGAGATTAATCTTGGTTAATTTGGATTTGCGTCAGCATAAATGTAATATCATTAGATTCATCTCATAGAATTATATATAATTCTAAATATAAATTTGCTGAAATCAAAAGACTCATGTCTATTTACAGGAATTTTGCAGGGCTACAAATCAATTATGATATGCTTCCTAAATACAAAACCGTGATAATTAATAGATACAATATTAGATCAGCGTAAATCAAGGAAGCAGCTCCCAACTGCGACATTAAAGAGGCGAAATAATGGCAGCTTAGGAAATGGCAAGACGAACTCTTAAAGGAAGATTTACATACATACCACCCAATTCCTATGTATTTACATATGTAACACCGAACTTCAATTTTTTGCATATATGCCAACTTATTTATTTCACATTTTAAATGTGAAAATAGTGATTTTTTTTTTTTTTTGTGATATGAAAAATTTTGGTTGGATAAATGTAAAAAATAAAATTTAGATGGTAGATATGTAAAGCATGAATTAGGTGGTATGCATGTAAATATCCCTATTTTAAATTCAATTAAAAAAATGAATTCAGTAATTCATGGTGTGAAATGTTAAGGAGCTAAAGAACAAAACTAAAGTCAGTTCCTGATTACTCATTATTATTAGCTCTCTATTTAAATGTATTTTTTATATTATTTCTTAATCAAATTTATAGACAATATTGACCCAAAATCAGAAAAATAATTAAACAGCTAAACATTTTATGAAGAGATAAAAATGAAAATTAAATCCAGATTTTGACTCCATTAATTTACTTGAACGAAGCCTTTACCTAATTGTTCATATTTTAGCTCTCAATAAAATCATAATGTCCATTGCTCATATTCTGGCTCTCAATTATGACTAGGTTGTACATGAGCCGGTGCACTTGGCAAACTCGAACTCAGCTCGATTAATACTCGATTATATTTATTCAAATTAGCAAATAAACACGTTTGAACATTCTTCAAAAAATGTGGAGATTAAATAAACGAAATTTGAGCATAGTCCGACTATTTATTTATGTTCATGAACAAATTCGTTTGTTGTTCAAAAAATAACTTTTTAAGAGCTCTATATTGATATGATTTATTATTTAAATAAAGTTTGATCTACATTATTTTATTTAACAATATATTTAATAATAACAATTATAATTTAATATCAATATATACATAAATTTAAGACTAAATTTTTAAAATAAGGCGACTTAATTTACTAAAAAAAATGAGATTTGGAGATATCTACAAAATTGTATTCACAAAAAATAAAGAGAATTTTTTGCCACATATATATGAGAAATTTATACGAAAAGCTTATACGTGTCTTTTATATATCTAAGACCTCAACCTACATATTTTATACATAAAGATAACCAAGTAAAGAAAAATGGAGCACTCTTCCAAAACAAACTTCAAACCCAAGAAAGCAGTCGTTAAACTCCAAGGTAGATATCTATAGATAAATACAATTTAAGTTATTTGATGAATGAAATTAGTAGCAAAACTAATGTTTGAAATTGTAGAGCACATCACCAGACTTTAGAAACTAATGTTTACTACTTCTACTTGGAGGTATAGCATATGCCCCCGGTGTGTAATGCGTAGGTGCACGAACAGGTCGACTTCTTAAATGATGTTGGTCAACTTCCTATAAATGTTGAGGTCATGATAACTGGCCAGGTTGTGTTATGATTTATGTCTGTTGAGATGAAATAGATGGAGACATCCACAAATTCCATGTATAAGGACTTCCGACTGGGAAAGAAATGTCAGCCATCCAAGATGGAGGTGAGCTTTGGTAAATTGAGGGTGTTATTGGCACCTCATGCCGCAATGCAATAAATAATGTGCTCGTATATGGATGTGTGTCATGTGATCAACCAACGTCCTGTGAACCGACTGAAACTTGTGATTCACCTCCAGTATGAAAAGTTGAAGGATCTGGATGAGTAGAAGTCTGTGGAACAACACATACAATATCAAGAGGGTCTACTATGTCTGATGTAGATGGCTATGCTGGAATGTTCTCTGTACTATAACGATCATTTGTAACATATATGTTCCAACAAACATCTCAAAAAAACCCTCAAGTGCCTCTACTAGTTCTTGTAATGAGCAATTATCGCATCCGCTGAATGTTGGTTGGAATAATTTCACCCTTAAGAAAAAATGACGCTAGAAAAAAAAATTATTAGTTAGAGCTGTAGGCATATACTTATTATTCTCCATATGTATAGACATATGAGAATCCTCTCTCCCGATGCTCTTGGATAATAGGTCGTTGGAACCTCAACTGGAGCTTGAAGTAAGTACAGAGGTGCACAAGACCTGTACCAACGCATATAGTCTCTTTGGAATTGAACCACATCAACATCTGTGTTCTGTTGGTGGATAATAAAAGCTCGCCGATTATCCTATTTTTCAATGTAAGACTAATGGTAGTCCGAATCAGCCTTTCCTCTGCCATTTGTATGCTCAAAACCTAGCTTTATTGGCTCCATGTCTATTCATTGAATCTAACCAAATTGTCTTGTAATACGGTTTGGTAAATTCCACTCCGTACGTTGCATCTCATTCTTGCACATGTTTACAATATTGTATGTACTCATTATTACTAATCATTTGATCTACAATATCACTATTTAGAAATGCATGCTCATGCATAAGCTCATGCCCTTGTAAATTAACATAATCTTGCTCGTCACAACTTTCATCATCAGATTCATTATCAATGTTAGTGTCACCAGCACTTGAAGTACTCCCCATTGTTTCTTAATCTTTATAACATGAGAGAATTTTATTTCTGATTCCAAATTGACTTGAAGATTTTAGGTTGACCTAATCTCCATCAAAGTAAACAAAATAAAAAATAAAATTATATATATGACACTACTCTGAATTACTATATATGACACTGCTTACCGATCCGCAATAACATTTTTCATGATGATATTCCGTGATGGCTCCATTAACATATGATTAGCGATATGATCTTCATTTTGAGTTGAGCAATCTCATCAGAGATCATTAGAACTTTTTGTAAAGCCTCTGCTAAAACAAGTCTAGCCATCTAATCTTCATTGACAAGAGTTGCAATAAATCCACCATTCTTTGGGTAACAACATGTCAAATTCAATGCACATTGTTATGTTTCAAGCTTTGCCTATTAATTCTTTAAATTCCATATATGTACCATGTAACTGGACACAAATAGGCCTACTTTGACCTCCTACTTACTTGTGCACAAGCTCCTTAGATGCAACTAATTTATCATCAAACATAGCATCAATTGGGCAAAGAATTCACTCAGTTTGAAGGTATTTCTGTCAAAATTTAAGTAACAATATATTTATGTGAAATATCTCAAATAACATAAATCAAATTCAAAAATGAGAGTTGTTACTTAAGAC